CTGTACTTTAAACGATTGTTCCCTGAGCAAAACTTAACTTCATTTATCAGTGCAGAAGGACAAACTTCAACTATGCTGATCTTTAGGGAGCAAAAAATAAATAAACTTTTAAGGGAGCAAAAAAATAAAAAGATGGCAGGTTTTAAAAGACTGGCAAGATAGATTTAGTTGTATAATAAAATACATATTAGTGCAAAATCATTATTATTCGTTTGGCATTAATTTTCATGGTTTTCATGGATAGGTCAATCCAGGACGAATTTTCATTTCATCTGCTGTAAGATTATTTTGCTAAATATTATTATATTTTATCTTTTGTAAAAATAAACATTCCGTGAAATGAAGAACCCACGGAAATGTATTTTCAACAAAACCACAAAATTTCATGCCCACGAAAATAAGTGAATTAACAATATATACTATATAAACTATTGGTGGTTTGTGTTGTTATTTATATAGAACGAGATATAATCAAATATAAATTTTTAAGCAAAACAAATATAAGCTCATCAACATCTTCCTAACTACATTTGTACAAGTACAAAACTAAGAAAACATAACAATACTAATCAAACCCTGTCAGGGGCAAGCCTTTCTTTTCTTGAGCACTTGTTGCTCAGAACTGGTTGGTTCCTGGAACAGTTCAATAAGCTTATAGCTTCCAACACAATCAAACTAAACTAATAAATTCTGTATAAACTAAACTAATTTTAATATCTGTTCAAGATAAATAACTGTTCAAGATTTCAACAAAAATGAAATGCAAATAAATACTTTGAACATAATTATATTGCGATATGTGAAAATTATATATATATATAAATATTATAAAAATGCAATAACAAAAATATCACATTTTGATTAGTTTCATATAAAAAGAATTGCAGAAAAGAATGACAAATGTTCAATAGAAAGACCTCTGAATTAAATCCAATAGGAATTATCAGACCTGACCAAAAAAAGATAGTCAAGGTACTGCTAACCTCAGGTGTTACAAAATTCAAGCAACACTAAGTAAAGTGTCAATACCGTGACCTCTCCCACTGGAGCTAATAGATGCATAGACTCCATTCAGTCGCCTCTTACGATCACACAAGGATAAGTAGTGCCTAAAAGATAATTGGAGGTAAAAACTTATAAATGCAAAAAATCTGTTTGAGTATGAAAAATTGCATTTAAAATAATGAGAACAAGAGCTGTCCGTAAGACAGCGCGCTCGACTTTTTTAGTGCTTGCCTATAATACAAAACATTGACAGTTAAGGGCCATAATTCAAATAAAATCTTTGACAGAATTACCTTCTCCTGGACATGTTTGGGAATCATGATTGTAAACAAGTATTCCAACTTTCAAATTAATATCTCAAACAGTTCAGTCAAAAAGTGGACTGGTACTAAAAACTTAACCAAGATTCTAAGTCGATAAAAGGCCTTAATTTTTAAAACAAATCCTTGACAGAGTTACCTTCTCTTGCGTACAGATGGGGGTAATGATGTGAAATAGCATTAAAAGTTTCAAAGCAATATCTCAAAGGGTTAAGGCAATAAGTGGATTTTACCCATATTCAATGTATTTTCTAAGTCAAAAAGGGGCATAATTCTGTCAAAAACCTTGACAGAGTTATGTCCTCTTGTCTGTTGATGAAGGTCGTGATGGTAAACAAGTATGGTCAGTTTCAAAGCAATACCTCCAATGGTTTTGAAATAAAGTGAGGTGGTACAAAAAACTTAACCAAGATTCTAAGTCGATAAAAGGCCTTAATTTTTAAAACAAATCCTTGACAGAGTTACCTTCTCTTGCGTACAGATGGGGGTAATGATGTGAAATAGCATTAAAAGTTTCAAAGCAATATCTCAAAGGGTTAAGGCAATAAGTGGATTTTACCCATATTCAATGTATTTTCTAAGTCAAAAAGGGGCATAATTCTGTCAAAAACCTTGACAGAGTTATGTCCTCTTGTCTGTTGATGAAGGTCGTGATGGTAAACAAGTATGGTCAGTTTCAAAGCAATACCTCCAATGGTTTTGAAATAAAGTGAGGTGGTACAAAAAACTTAACCAAGATTCTAAGTCGATAAAAGGCCTTAATTTTTAAAACAAATCCTTGACAGAGTTACCTTCTCTTGCGTACAGATGGGGGTAATGATGTGAAATAGCATTAAAAGTTTCAAAGCAATATCTCAAAGGGTTAAGGCAATAAGTGGATTTTACCCATATTCAATGTATTTTCTAAGTCAAAAAGGGGCATAATTCTGTCAAAAACCTTGACAGAGTTATGTCCTCTTGTCTGTTGATGAAGGTCGTGATGGTAAACAAGTATGGTCAGTTTCAAAGCAATACCTCCAATGGTTTTGAAATAAAGTGAGGTGGTACAAAAAACTTAACCAAGCTCAATACACTTTCTAAGTCAAAAAAGGGCCATAATTCTGTCAAAAACCTTGACAGAGTTATGTACTCTTGTCTGTAGAGGGAGGTTATGATGGTGAACAAGTATGGTAAGTTTCAAAGCCATACTTGTAATACTTCTGAAATAAAGTGGGGTGGTACGAAAAACTTAACCAAGGTGTGACGCCAACGCTAACGCCGACGCCGACGCCGGGGCGAGTAGGATAGCTCCCCTTTTCATAGAAAAGTCGAGCTAAAAATGGATGAATATATTTGATTAGCAATAGAAGAACACAATATTATATACAGCAAATAAATGCATCTTTGATGTTAATTCTGTGACTAGTTAATATTTTTCTGAGATTCAAACTAGAGCAGCTGTGGAAATAAATATTGCAATATTTTTAAATGATTCAAAGGAAAAATGTTAACTTGTATATGATTGGCTGTAAAAATTAGTTTTTAACAAAAGTGTATGTAAACTTGTATTTGATTGGCTGTAAATTATCAGCTTTTAACAATATTGTATGTAAACTTGTATTTGATTAGCTGTTAATATTAGTTTTTAACAACAGTGTATGTAAACTTGTATTTGATTGGCTGTGAATATTAGTTGTAACAAAAAATGTGTCAAATAAACCAATGAAATAAAGTGACATAATGTGTCAGGCAGGATACAAAGCCACAAATACCAAAACGTTAGTAATATAATATAGGAACAATATATGTTAAATGCCGCCTTTGGTTGCAGTCAGGCTATAATGACTCAGTAAGATAATAATTTGACCAAAATAATTTGTATTTCTCTGTTTTTCCAACATAATTCTTTTAAGATTTTACAAATTCAAATTAACACAATTGTACTCTAAGTCTGACAAAATTTGAGAAATCAAGTACAACAGCGAAAGTTAACACCTTTTTTTTGTCAAAAATAATCTCCCTTTATGACTGAATACACATCATTCTAAATATTAAAATTAAAATATTTTAGGACAGTTTTTTGTTCCAACAATCTACTAGTAATTATGAAAATTCTCTTCTTGTATAAAATGTTTAGTAGAATGATAGTTAAAGCTATGATGAAAATTTCTATTTCCAGTGAATTTAAAAAAATTCATAGGGAGAACCATTTTTCAGTTTTTATTACTGTAAATTGGTTTGTATACATGTATATTAAGTACAGGAGAAGATCTGTGTATTATTCAAAATATTGAAACTGCAATAACAAAAATACATTTTTGTTCAATTTGCCTTTTAAATTGTATAAAATTGTATAATAAAGAAATACAAAAAAATTACAGCACAATTATTCAAACATATTATAGATTAAATGAAAGATTGATCAACCATGGAATGGAATGAAGTTCGAAATAAAATAAAACAATTTCCATGAATCCATGAATCTCTCATATAATTCAAGTTGCCATTTTGACAAGACACTCACAATTCATGCAAATTTAAGAAAAATTGAAAAACAAGAATTTTAATAGATAACTTGTACATGAAGGTTATGTACTCCTTTTGTTCATAAACTGAAAACATTTAAATTGCTAAATTTAAAGCTTAATAATATCTGACATATGTTGCGGTCCAGATCGGAATATCAGTGTGACACAAACATATGTCAGATATTTTTTCTTGCATATTCAACCAAATTCAATCATATTTTAGACTCTTTACCTTAATAAAACAATTTTCCATGGAAATGTATGTCATTAATTTACACCCATAACTATTTTCTCACAACTGTAAAATTACGTCATCCTAAGCATGCCATTTTATAGCATGTGACTCGTCTGGCACCCCCCATGCAAGATGAAATTTCCAGCATGAGTAAAACCAAGGGAAACACCAGTCTGATATGCAAGAAGAACCCATAGACATCAACTTTGAAAATTCAATAGCATCAGAAAACATGACTTAATTCTGGTTAAATATGTATATTAATATATTGTCTCCCAAGAACAGTAAGGAGTATGTCCTTCTAAATTTAATAGGAGTTAACCAGTTATCATACCAAGATGACGATATCTTTAAAATCTTAGCTGTTACAGTAGGAAACAAAATCTCCGAGTACCGTTTCACAACAACAATAGTTAAACAGTATAACATCCATATTAAAAACAAAGTGAGATTTAAACAAGAGCTGTTCGAAGAGCAGCACCCGTCACTTTTCTCAATACTTAAAAGTATGATGAACATGATGAAAGCAAAGTAGAAAAGGAGGCATTATTCTGATAAACTGCTTTACAAAAAAAAGTTGCTGTGATATTCAACAAGTATTTCAGTTTGAAGTGATGTCTGTGATGTTTTTGCTTGTTTTTTTGAAAGGGTTATCTGTCCTTTAGAAATGCATTCCAATTTTTACAGAGAAAATGTATTCTACATTTAGAGTGAATGTCTGATAGTTTTCTTTTTAAATAATTCGGTTAATCAGGGCATAAAATGTAAGTCAAAAAAGGGGCACAAGTCTGCAAAATATAACTTTAGGATTATCTGCCCTTTTGATATTGCATAACATGATGATAGTGAACAAGTAAACCAATTTTAATGTAAAAAAGCTATGGTAGCTGCTGAAAAAAAATTGACTTCACCTATTACCTACTTAAGGTGACCTTGACCTCTGACCTTTTGACTTCAAAATCAGTATTTGGACATTATCCCTTAATTTTAAGAGCCCTTAACTAAAATAAGGCACTTATTTTTTGCAACAATCACACTGGACATTGATTTCATCAACAATATTTGTTATTGTTGCTAATTTGCATGAGTGAAAAGTGAATAAATAATTGATCAGACAATGGTTTCAACACATATACATAAATACACAATCTTATATAAATTGAATTTTAACAAAATGTTATAAAATTATCTGAATATTTTGCTCCCATTCAAGGATGTAACTTTGATTATGATATTTTATGATAAAGGCCATCATCGGTTAACCACGGTTTAAATATATTCTGTATATACTACATACGATAACGTAATATGTACGGAAAGTGTATTGTAGGTAACCGAAGATGGATAAAGGCAGACCTACTGTCATGCCAGGAAAAACTGAGACAACCCATCTTTTAGCACTTGTATATAACTCGACTAGATCCTACATTGTCCTCTGCTAAACTTCAGAACAATGCTATCATCATTCCCATAATTATAAATGGACTTTTCTTAATTCACAGCAGGGAAAGCTCATTACAAAAACATTGGTGGGGTTAAAGCTTTGACTGGAGTCTAACTTTTGGAGAATCTTTACTCATTTGGATGGCTTGACTGACAGCTTTACAGATCTTGTTTAAGGCATGGAATGGTACTTTCTTGTGTACTGGTAGGTATATCACATGATCAATAAGGTATCGAGCCTCCGTGGGGTACCGAGGATCCAGTTGAGTTTCCGGATTTTTACCGGACTCTTGTTCCGGTTCAATGATGTTCAGCTGTGTAGCACCACGGTACGCATCTACTCCAAAGGCGTTCAAGTAGCTGAGAATGGTATCTGGGTTTTCCTGAAATTTCCAATAAAAACCTTAACATTATTTTCAAACTTCTTGTTAGTACTGAAAAAGATGAGCAGTCTTTTTTATTTAGTAAAAATGAACATGGTAAATCATGATCAAAGTGAGTAATTGCTAGTAAATAAAACAAGAAAGTCTAAAAGACAACTATAACCCCGACTGCAGTGTATTTTTATGCAACATTTGACTAACCTTGACCATGCAGGTAAAACCTGGCCATTGCACTTTGCACACTGAAAGCTCATAGTGGTGAATTTGCCTAAATTCAAACAAGGGTGCCATAGTCACAAAATACGCCCGTTTACGAAAAAGCTTTAGATGGAGATGGGGGCATTATGGATAAGTGTTATCTAGCAAGCAAGTTTTTATTCTTGGCACTGTGTTGTTAAATGAACCTTAAAACAAATCAATAGGGAAGATATGCACAGAATGTGTGACCTTGACCTTGGTCGCAGGGACCTGAATTTTATGCACGGCACTCAGCCTCACAATGATGAACATTTGTGCCAAATTATATTGAAATCCCTCTATGCATGTAGAAGTTTTGCTCCAGACAAGTGTTTTTCTATGAGCTCTAACTGTGACCTTCACCTTTGACCTAGAGACTTGGTTTATGTGCAGGGCACTACGTCTCATGGTGGTGAACAATTCTATAAAAGTAACATTAAAATTCCTCCATGCATGTAGAAAATATGCTCCGGACAACATCTGGATATTTAATCATCTCCAGTGACCTTGCAAATATTAACCTAAATTAAATGTGTAACACCTGTAGTCATGATAGTTACCATTTGTGCTACAATCCATCAATAAATGATGACTAAATGGTCCCTATAACCATCTTCAAATTTTTATCTGAACTTTGACCTCTATGTGTAACCTTGACTTTGGTCGCAGGGATCTGAATTTTGCATGCGACACTCAGCCTCACAATGGTGAACATTTGTGCCAAGTTATATTGAAAACCCCCTTTGAATGTAGAAGTTTTGCTCCGGACAAGCGTTTTTCAATGAGCTCTAAGTGTGACCTTGACCTTTGACCTGGATCATGCATGGAGCAATACATATCATGGTGGTGAACATTTCCATAAAGTATTATAAAAATTCTTCCATACATGTAGGAGATATGCTCCAGACAAAATCTGGATTTTTCACCATCTTTAGTGACCTTGACCTTGCATATATTGACCTAAAGTACATGTGTCACAGCCGTAGTCATTATAATGACCATTTGTGTTACAATCCCTCAATAAATGATGATTAAATCGTCCCTATACACATCTTCATATTTTTATCTTTTTTTAAACGGGCGTATAAAAAGTACATGTAATTTAATAACTAAAAAATTCTGATTTAAGATTTTATTCTAGGGAAATACATTTCATTACAATTCTTAATCTTTGAATGAGCTGAACTGATATTTACTTGAAAATTAAAATATAATTAAATTTCTATGAGAAAGTATTTACATTTGATAAGGTAATTACTGTATGATCTTTGATAAATGATAAATGTTACATTCTTTAGAACATACTCAAGTCCAAGAAAGAGGAATATTTCATGCCCTTTGATTAAATTCTATTTTTAGAATTGAAAGTGAAAATAGATCAAGGGGAGTAATTGTGTAAGTCATTTATGAACAAAGTACAGTGGAACCTGTCTAATCCGAACTCGTCCGGACCAGAAGAAAAGTTCGGATTCGAAAGGTTTCCGGATTAGAAAGGTTTCCGAATTAGAAGGTTCTTTTACATGTTTTTTCATGTTACATGTATTTGCCAAATAGTTTAGGGAAAGAAAACGGGAATGCATTTGAAATTGCAATTTAGATATTTTATTTTTGCAGTCTCTTATCGTTCATTCCAATACATGTGAATACAAAAATAAAGAAATGAAAATAAATAAATAAGCAAAAAAATATTATGTCCTCAAGGAATAACGATGTAAAACAGGAGGCGGAGACATAATTTAATATTCGTACCAGCGTTTGTCAATTGTTGTTTACTCTTATCCGATTCAACGACTATCCAAATTCACTGACAGTTTCTATTAATTATCATTGCTTAAACACGTATCATTGAATCCTTTACAAAGGATTAAAAGATATTTTTATTGCATTATATCAAAATATTTATTGAAGGTGACGAAAAACAATCAATTAAGCAATTATAGAAGATATGAAGGCAAGCTAAGTGTAATTTTCACACCTTCGCAGATCATACGTTTCACCCATTAATCAAGTGAAATAACACATCAGTTTGGTGTATGTTTACACCTGCAAGATGTGCGATTATTTGTTATCTTGAACGAAGGTGTGACATTTGGCAAAATCTGTTCGGATCCGAGAGGTAAATTTTAGAGTAAAATAAGAACAAAAATTGAAAAAATCGTCCGGAATTCGGAGTAGACAGGTTCCGGATCCGAAAGGTTTTTTACTATTGAAAATAGAACAAATAAAATCGGGACCGGACACTTCGTTCGGATAAGAAAGGATTCCGGATTAGAAGGGTTCGGATTAGCAAGGCTCCACTGTAATAACTTTGTTGTCTCCCTTTGATTAAATTCTATTTACAAAATCTGGATATTTCATCATCTTTAGTGACCTTGACCTTGTATATATTGACCTAAATTATATGTATCACAGCCATAGTCTTGATAATGACCATTTGTGTTACAATCCCTCAATAAATGATGACTAAATGGTCCATATACACATCTTCATATTTTTATCTGAACTTTGACCTCTATGTGTGACCTTGACCTTGGCCGCAAGGACCTGAATCTTGCACGCGACACTCCGCCTCACAATGGTGAACATTTGTGCCAAGTAATATTGAAATCCCTCTATACATGTGGAAGTTTTGCTCCGGACAAGCATTTTTCAATGAGCTCTAAGTGTGACCTTGACCTTTGACCTAGAGACCTGGTTCATGTGCGCGACACTGCTCTTCATAGTGGTGAACATTTATATGAAGTTTCATTAAAATCCCTCCATACATGTAGGAGATATGCTCCGGACAAAATTTGACGCCGCCCGCCCGACCGCCCGCCCGCCAGGGGCGTTCCCATAATACGTCCCGTTTTTCAAACGGGCGTATAAAAACACAAAATCTTTGTATTCAGCAAATGGAACCTTTTCTGTTTATGTTTTAGCGCAGGAGAGATAGTTAGGCTGAAACTGCTAGCTGTAAACTTGTAGGCAAATAAAGTAAGATGTCTATACAAATACACATCTGTGAGTGAAGGAAATATGTTGCTGGGAACCTAAGGTCATCTTTCATCAATAAAGCTCATAACTCATAATATAACCTCAACATTACAAAAGCTTTAAACGTGCAATAGCTAATACTGAATGTCACTGGGCATCATGTAAAGAAAAATCAATAAGGAAAAGTGTGTCTAGGCTTTAGATTCCTTGACTAAAGACCCGATTGGAACCTTGGTTGACATTATGCCCCTGTAACATAAATTCTGTATCACTGCTTTAGCCACCCTGAGCTGTTAAGTAACCTTAAGTTATTATAACAGTGACGATGTAAATTCAACATCAAACCAAAACAAAATGAGAAACTGTACTTACTACAAGTATAGGAAACAGCCAGTAATTATTGACCTTGGCCTTCATACCTACCAGCTGTACATCCTCCGGTAATCTCATCCGAACATATTCTCCTTTTACAGTACCTGAAATATATTTCTATTTATTATACCACAATATTTCTTTCAATGTAAATCTCCCATAGGCCTATTATTTGTTCTGATCGAATATCACCCTCTTAGGATATATTCCCCTGGAAATATTTCTTATACCTCCCTGGGGCACATAACTCTTGCAAAACTCCATATTCAGCAAACTTTTTATGCAGAAATGTATCAAATCATTCTTGAGCTGCGCCTCTGGGTAATATACCAGTTCTCGGGTTGACAATATCCTCCCGGCAGCCACGAGTTATTTACATATTATTATATATAATGTAAACTTGTGTATATTCTGTTATTCTATTGTATGAGGACCAATCACCATGTCATTCTTCCATTTCATACATACATTACGGAAGTTTTTACTCAGGTGCCTGTTCACATGAAATCATGCACCGGGGAACATCGTTCAACATAACGTCGGAATAACACTGGAAATGTCATTTTGGGACTTTCAGGTATGAACAGAACCCGAGTAGATCCACCTTAAGCTAGCAGAATAGCTTTTTATGAAGGAATCTGAAGTCCCTGGTGGGATTCAAACTCACAGAAGTGCGGGGCATAAGATCTGAAGTCAACAACCCTAACCACTCGGCCATAGACCTTCAATTGATTGAAAAGAACATGTAAAATGTGATCTTCACACTATATCAGAAAGAAATTCATGAATTATTATATTATGAATAGTCATGAATTATCTAGAAATTTAAAGATATTTCTTCCAGTAAAACAAAAAACCAAATTCTCTGATATAAAATGTATGATGGTTTACAGTGCTATTAAAATAAGAATACCCTATTTAGTTTCTTTAAATAAATCATTTTTTGACAATTCAATACAGTGAACTCCGCTTAAAAGGATATTTTCAGGACTGACCGCATCGTTATAAGCAGTATATTATTAGAAGCAATATCATTATAAGTGGAGTTTACTGTACATTTAACATAAAAATTTAATAGTGAGAAAATATCATACAAACCTATATTATAATCAGCTTCACGGAAATCTCTGAACCTTTTTCTCACCATCATAAGTAGCTGAGTACTCGGCTGAAGTTTAATCTTCTTCAACATTTGATCAGGAAAACCCCGGAGCATCTTGACGAACACCTGCTTATGATCCAAATTACAACATCTGCATAGGTACATTATTGTCTGACTAACGCAAGGACATGCTAGAGCCAGAAACACCGTTAAACATTTACACGTCTTTTTAAAATACTCCCATCTAGACTGAACATCTCTAGTCTCGTACAACTTTGCCATTTTTGAGAACACGGAATCATTTTTAACTTTCGCTATTGCACCTCCGAATGCCGTGAGATATTTTATGACGCCAAAACTAAATAATGCAATGTCTGATCTAGGATCGCCTAGACGCTCGAACCCACAGAATGCCTCGGCACAGTCTTCTATCACAACTAGACCATATTGCTGAGCGGCTGCGATTACGGGGTCCATATCACACCATTTCCCGAACACGTGAGCGACTAGGATAGCAACAGATTTATCAGTGACTAGACTTGGCAAGAGTTCCACTTTCGGTCCCGTAGTTTCAATGTTGATATCTAATGGTACAACCTGCAATGAAAAATTTAACAAAGTCTGTATGGTTAAAAAAAACCACAAAAAACGTTAAGACCGCTGTTTACATAAAGGTAAGCTAATGTCAAGCTATACTTCTATTAAAGATTATCAGAGTTGATGTTCATGGCAAATGCACATAAATGTTGTTTTTTGAAACATGTCTACCGACCAAACTTGTTAAAGCAGAGCCATCCATGAATTTTAAAGTAAACTTAGCTAATTTTTATCCAGGAGGCGCTGTCAGTCAGGTGTCAAAGCATTCTTACATAACATTGTTTAGCAAATTGTACCAGGCAGTAACTTCTGTAATTACTAGTGATTTAACCCACAGGGGTTAACCCCCAACATGACATACCTTAAGATTGTGATGTTTTACCACTGTCACCATGTCAGGTATATTTATAGCTGACATAATGACCTCTGACCCTGGTGGAAAATTCATGACCTTAAGATATAGGTCAAGACCACTTCTCACAGAAAGACATGGCAAAACACTGTTTCTATTGTTTTCATTGACCCATAGTGAATTGATATCGTCAATGACCTTGGTCCGATTTGTCCCACATCTTACACAGCTGGATGTTGCTTCAACATAGTCTCGCCAGTCAGCATCTAAAAATAGAATCATATCTAGTTTAAAACAAAATTGATGAGTAAAACAATAGTTTTTTCACATACATTCAACAAATAATCCAAAACCAGCTTACTTTTACAATCCAACTTTGAAAGCTCTTTGTTCATTTTCAAAAAAATTCCATTCCATAAACCATAAGTAATCATTTTACCTTTAGGTTGATCACTGATTAAAATAATTGCATATTAAAGAATTGCCTAGGAGCAATACCAACACGAAAAAAAATGTTCATATTTTGAATTACGTGGTGGCAGTATATTATGTTTCTGTAATTAAATGACCTTGGCTGTGAATAGTAAGGTCACCCCCTTTTTCTGCTTTTCTAAGACCCGAGGCCTCTCTATCAAAACATGGAATTTTTTCTCAAAGAAAAGGAGTAGATACTTTATTATCAGTCAAAATACACATCTTTAGCTTACCAATAAATAGGCAAGTATACGGCACAATAGAATCCATCTTGACAGTGTGGGAATTGTTCTCATTTTCTCCAAACATCTGCCTTAATCACTGAAATGTGAACAAATAATGAGAAATAAGGAAATTAGGTTAAGTTTTTTTACATAATATATAACATATAGTTTGATATCCAGATCGGCTCTAACTGTTCAGTCTAGCCCAAATTTAAACATCTTTACGGAGAGGCTTGACCCTATCTATAAATTCTAATTTGCACACTACTTATACAATTATCTTTTTAAATTTGCATACTGGCATGCGAGCAGTTCCCGTACAAAAATCGTAGTTACTTAAACATTATTTTTTATTACGCTCACTCACCAAAATTTTAATGTTACACATCACTATTCAGCTCGTCACACAAATCATGGAAATTCCATCATGTTCTAAACATAGAATAACCCTTAGTTATGAGGCCTCATATGGGGTACCGAAATTATCCATTATTTTGTATGAAGAGAAGTAGTTCCCGTACATAAAATTTAACCCATTATAATTATACAATTTTGTTATATCGGACCTATTTTTCAATTATAATTGTTGAACAGACCATTTTCTAAGAGATAAATAGATGTAATTCAGGAAATAGAGCGTAGACTAAACGCTGGTATCAATTACCCGGTACCGTTACCCCAACGCATTCTCATGCAATGGCATGCTTGTATGCATGATATTTTACGCATCAAAGCCATAAAATTATTTAATATAGTAATATTGATCAAAATTCTGATAATTAAACAAGTTTTCACCACATTGCCTACTTATCTGTAAACAGGTGGTATTAGTGGAAAACCCTTTAACAGGCCTCACGTGTAAGTATTTTAGCGCATGCGCGCAAGGACGGAATCCCCCAGAGAAAACAAGGTGACGTTTTGACAACGCACAGGTGAAAGTGATTTAAAATGAGACTTTTATACGTACTGCCGAACTGACACTTAGATTTTGTCTCTTTTATGCATCTGCTTGATTTGAAATGAATTTTTGAAGATTGCAAGTAAAAATCAAGCGTTTAAATGAAAAATACGGGTACTGCTTCTGTACGGGAACTGCTCGCATGCCAGTATAATTAATGCCTTTTATCAACTGTTCCCTGACAACATTACATGCCTGCTAGTCATAATCACAGTATATAAACAATTTAACCTCCAGTTATCGCAAGTCAGGTACAAGTTAAAATATATAGACTCCCAAGTAGGGTACAGAGATTGGAAATAAAATGAGCTTTTACTCGCAAGACAGGGTACAGTGATTTTGTTCATAATTATACTCGATTGCTAAACAGCATCATGTAGATGTAGCTACTGACCAATGTCATGTCAACCATGTTTTGATGAAAGGAACACAATTTTGTGACATTCACACTCACAGGAGTATGGCTTATTTAATGTTCATGAAATATATGTTTGACAGTCAGTTTATCCAAAGTCAGAAAATAATTCTATTACACTGGTTAGACTTTTAGACATTAATTCTTGTATATTAGCTTACTGTATAGTGTTATGGGAATGAACTTGAAATTAATCTCTGACTTTGGATAGAAAAAATTCGGCTATCACACACATATTTTGTGAACATTCAACAGTGTTCAGATTAGTCGTACATCCCTCACAGTCACAGATGCAGTGAAGCAAATCCAGGAAGTGGAAAAATAATCAGAATTTCTCAACAAATAACACTATTTTTCGCTAAATTAAATCAAACCTTTTAAAACTGAAATGAGCATTCTCCCATGTTTGTTCAAATTTTACCATGATATTATTAACATCCTGGTTGTCGGAATGTGTAAAGTTACAAAAGGTAAGTTGACCGAAGTTAAATAAAAGGGGAACAACTTTTGTCACACTCTTAATGTATTCAGATCCACTTAATAGTGTTACTTTTGTTAAAATCGAAAAAAAAACGGAACCCCTAAAGAACGCCCAAAACGGCAAAATTAAAAATATTGCAGGCACGGCTTGATTGAGCCTGTTCATGCACGGTACTCTAAAGTTCAAGTTACCGTCCACGGCCCATTGCACCGGCTTAAGAAACATTCGCAGATGTTTTCATACGACGGTTATCATGGAACATTCAACCTTAATACAAAATTGCTATGATTCAGCATTCGTCTAGAGCTTATATACAATCTGTGGAAGATGCATGTAAATTAAAATAACATACATTTAAGTTATTCCATGCCATAAATTTTTTGTAAGAATTCATAAATTTATGCACACCATCAAAGACGGGCCTACATTGTTCCCAAGAACTGGCAAATCAAGTAATTAAATTAATAGTTGGGTTATCAATTATTAAATCATCCACACTAAATGTTTGATTATTTGACTGATAATTTTCCTTATCATAAAATCTATTCGGTGGGAAGAATATTAGATCTAGACGAAAGATTATAATCTGTAGCCCTAAAGTAAGCCTGTTCAAATCACAGTGAGAGTTCGGGCAACGTCTTAAATACCCGAGGCTCAGATTGATGTGACATCTTGTTTCAATCAGATAATCTCTTTGCGAATCATAATGTAGATCTAACATTATTGAAATTATACAAATACGAGGGTGAATAAACATGTAATGCAATATGGTGACGGTCAATTAATTTAACAAAAGAGCAAATATTTGTTAATTAATATATTCTACAGAAATACAACTTAAGCTTCAGACTCACAGTCCTCCTTTGCTGGGACATAAGATAACGGGACAAGCAACTCGCGCTTTCTTATCAGTGCCAATGTTGGTGTCCAATATTGTTATCTTATGTCCCAGTCCTATGGTATACTTTTCAATAACTGAAAAATTACAAACCCAAGTTCGTTTCTTCTCTTGTCTTGAATGGATTACATGCAAGATGTTGTCTTAAATATTACAAATATCCTTAAAAACATTTATATATAGAAGATTTTCCTAGTTTTGCTCGAGCCCGTATAAATTTAAGTATTTGGCAGCTATATTTTACAAGAAGTTATGCGTGTAAGGTAGTTTTAATGTGAATAAAATTCTTAATCGGTTGGCTACATACATGATTCGAAAAGCCTAGCATAGTTTACACAAACACAAGAATCACGTGCTAAATTAAAAATATATTGCATTACATATTGACCCACCATCGTACGGTATGTCCCTGGTTTCTGTTAAGTACTATAACTTTATATGGAACTACACTAAAAAGTGACGAGTGGCACGACAGATTTTGAGTGCATAGTTTACTCCATTTGCAAACACTGGAAAATGCAAAGAAATGAATAAAATTCTTTGTGCATTACTGTGGGCTTATGTACCCTCAATAAGATTGACATACAATCCCTCCCTTTCAATGACGTAGAAATAAAAAGCAATCTAGAAAATGTAGGTACTGACACTTTTATAAAAATAAAAATTAAAAAAAAAATGAAATTAAGTAATCATAAACATCTACATACGTGTAAATTCCTACTACCTCGTGTAAAAGTATGTATGTATACAGCGCTATACGTACATTGACACTTGTTTTTCACGTTTTAACAAATAGTTACAATTATCGGAAACCATAATTTAACACAATTACTGACACATCATTCACTTCAATGTTTCATGTTAAACTGTACGTACATGGAAAATTTATATACACTCGTATCCGTATTTATCTTTATCTAATAATGTACATCTAATAAATTAATGTAGACCTATATAAAGTACATAAGTACATCGAATAATCAGCTATCTAAACAAATAATTCAACCTAAAATCAATAAGATGAATGAATTGACAATATCCTATACAAGAAATACCAAAAGCCTGTCCTAAGTCGGTTTAAATATTAAACAATAGCCGTTATATCCTATTTCACATTGTGTAAGGATATGATGTTTTTTGAACAAGTATGTTTTAAATCGAATTAAAACAATTAGGTGACGTGTTAAGTTCGTTTAGCTAGTTTTGAATTATATGTACGTTTCTCTTTCTAAAATTTACATTCCCTTTACAATCTGGCGGATTTCACTATATACAATGACACATTTATAGACTGACAGACAGACAGATAGACAGAAAACGTTAATGTATTACAAATACAACATGAGGATATATGCAAATAACACAAATTAAGCAATATAGGCTAGTATAAAAAGGGTGCACACTTTGGACAAACAGTGCGTTTCTTCTTAAGCTTTTTGACCCTTTTTCTAAGTTTATAATTCCTTCTTTGAAGATCAACAACTTTTTTCATGATTTCCTTGTTTGCGTCAAGAAATTTTGTATTCACATTTCGATGTCTGTTATTAATGGGAACTTGAAAATTAATTCTTTATTAGCAGGGTCATTCCCCAACTAATTTGAACAGTTGAATGTCTACGTTTGACAGGGAAGTAGTTATATTTCAACAATTTACTGCATGATAACTGATTTCATGGCAATTCTTTCGTTCTGAAGAGACATTTGTATCTTTTACCAGCTTTTTGCGAGTTTCCTTGTACTAACACACAGTATTTTTCACGCGCTGTGACTTTTTTTATTCCTTTAATCTGTATCTGCTTCTCTCTGTACTTATATTGCCGCTCAGCATTTATCAAACAAACCGTTATCTAAAATAAAACAGAATATTTAGTAGGTGTGAATGACGTTATGTACACCTGGGACAAAAATAATATAATATAGTATAGTTTTGTTCCCAGGTTACACGTTTAGTGAATTACATTACAATAATTTTCATAGCAATAACTTATCTGAGATGCAAAAATAACAAAAATAAACACAAAAAGTTTTCTTACAGAAATCTGTGGTTCACTGAAAGAAAGCACGTGACTTTACTTGATAAGACCCATACATTTCAAAACAAGCTACATATATATGTATTTCTCATCGAGACAAAAATATTGATACAAACTTGTATGGATTTAAGTCATTGGGATATAATATATAATATTTATTATTGTTTTAAAGATTCGTCATCCTAAGCATTTTAAGCTACAGTCTCACTTACATCCCGGCAGAGCCCCGCAGAGCCCCGGTAGACGTCCGGGGTGATCCGGGAACGACCGGGGTACGACCGGGAACAACCGGAGTACATCCGTAACTCTGCGGCAACTTCCGGGATGATCCGGGAACATCCGGCATTCGACCCCGGATGGAATTAAATATTTAATATCACCGGGGTGGTCGGGATGATCCGGGAAGATATAGCTTTGCCGGCTCCATCCTTAGCTCCGCCGGGAACGACCGGGGTTATACCGGGGAAGCACCGTAGCTCTGCCGGCACAAACCGGGGATGATCCGGGGTATGATATAGCCGGTAGAGCTACGGTAGAGCCCCGGTATATGCCGACAGAGCCCCGGTAACTACAGGCAGAGCCCCGGAGGATAAAGGTAGAGCTACGGTTGATCCCGGTAGAGCCCCGGCAAAGCCCGGATCATTTCAAAAGAATAACGACAATTTGCGATGATTGCACTTGTTTGTATTTAAACCCTTCCCATTTCCTTTCTATCCAGTATGGCATAAGGATTTTTCAGAAAATCATCATGAATTACTTATTCTGGAACAATAGATATTATATTAAATAAACAATATGTATCAATGTTATCATTTTCGGGCGTTTTCAATCCACAGGGGTTCTACCGGGGCTCTGCCTGGATCGTCCTGGGCTCTGCCGGGGCTCTGACTGGATCGACCGGGGCTCTGCCTGGGTCAACCGGGGCTCTTCCGGCGTCATCCGGGAACGACCGGGGAAGCACCGGCATGAACCGTAGCTTCACCTGGGCTCCGGCCGGATGATCCGGAGCGCATCCTGGGTGGTTAGTTGGGAACTACCGTAGTGCTGCCGGGGTAAGTGTGACCGCAACAATAATTTCACCTGGATCGTCCCGGGATGGTAACTTACCGGGATGGTCCTGGGCTCTGCCGGAAGTAACTGAGACCGCAGCTTAACAGTGCTTCTTTTTCTAATTCTATTTTCCAAGCATGTGATGTTGAAGAAATTTGGCGGATACATTAAATTTACTATGATGTTTTTAAATATCCAACTGTTTTCTCTCTTCACGCCAATTTGTTGAGACTTTTTGTCATACACAGGAAGGGTATTGACTCTAGAACAAGGACGAATCTAGGGCACCCGACGTTACGACTAAAAGAAAAAACTCTATAATTGTAAAGTGGCCAAGAATGTTCTGATTGGGGATACAATTATAATTTTGTCCCTGAAGAAAAGTTTGGGTCAAGTACTATCTGAAGTCGTAAAATGGGCACTTTAAGATGAAACACCCTAACCTTTTATGGTTACATAAATTCATTTAAACCTATCAATATTTGAAAGTGTTATAGTGATTTTGTTGCATAATTAATATTGAGTGGTTTTTAAGTATGTTTTTGAATGATTTTAAGATTTTTAAAATGTTTAGTTATAAACAGTATGAACAAAATTAGAACAAAAGATGTGAAATCTAAAATGTTAGAAAGTTGTCCCAGACTGGTGGTTTCTTTTTAAACAAACTGTTAATCTGCCTTTGTATCAGACGAAGAAGTCCAAAGAGAATAAGCACAAGTGGTTGTTTCTAAGATAATTAAGTTACATATGTACTTTAGTTGGAAAAAAACCTCCATAGAATAATTATTGCGATCTGAAAACAATTCAATGGTATACTTTTATGCTATCTCAGGGAAAAACGTTGTTTTGTTCCTCAAGGAAAAAAACGCGCACGCGCCAAACGAAACATAATAAGCAGAATCAAACAATCAAAAAGATGAAGCATGCGAACTCGAACTCCAACAGCAGGTATCACATCCCGAAGGTTATTAAGATTGGTAGATGTATCTTTGTTTTTATAAATGTTTAATGCTTCATTTTAAAAGTTTTTATCTTTTAGACATTACATTATGTTTGATGTAAAAAGTGTTACGCAATCTCTTTCTGCGTGTCAATTTCCATATATTTTATAAAACACCCTGAAAATCCCAAACGTAACTTCATCATAGCAAAAAGTTATATATTGCTGATTGAATGATCTCATTGCTGATGCATGGCAAGATAAACAGAATTTAAATTTTGGTATATGAACATTTGCTCCCAGGACATGCCCCCCCCCCCACACACACACTAAACAGGAATTACTGAACTCTTGCCCTCCACACCCATCCAATTGAAATGTAAAGGAGGACATTTACTCCCACCCCCAGTTTTGGAAATTGCTAAACGTATATCAAATGTATTCTTAAGCATAAAAATTTAAATAATATTAAAAATTGCACTTACTGCATGTACTCCAAACAAATAAACATAAAAAATAATGCATTTATCGTTGCATTTTTATTGTAACATAATTTGAAGACTGCATTTGATATAAATATATTAACTTTCCAAATTGGGGGTGGGGGCTAGCGGCAAATGTCCACCTATACATCCCCACCTGGGGACACAATGTGCAATCATGCATTTTTGGACTAGGGTCCGATCTGGAGAGGTGGGGGTGGGGGTAATTGTCCAGGATTATAATTTTCTGTAAGAACCACTTTGGCATTTATCAATTACTAATGATTAGTGCTTTATATCTGTGACAGATAAAAAAAAATATCTTCTTGAATCATGCTCATGAAAAAGAATGTTAAAAATGATCAGATAAAACTTGCACTTCCTAAGTGTTATTTGGTCTATTATTGGTTTTCCTCATCAATGAAAGCTGATAGCCATTTTGAAGTTAAATTTAAAAGCTTAACATTAATTGACTGCATGATAATGAGCTCCATTCGACGTGTCAGTTTACCTGTTGAAACACTATAAAGAGACACGAAGACGAAATATATCATTAACTAATTAACACCATGCCGCTAAAAGAGATATCGTTAATTTTTGGCATATTTGCTTATTTCAGTTGTTCAAACATATTCGCTGTTCTGTGTAACACCAACTTTACTAAATATATTTTTCATGGAGAATATTCAGATTCAACGTGTCCCGGGGATTCCTCACTATTCATAGATTTCTTCGGAAGCAATAGCAAGTGTATGCTCATGTGTTCAAATACTCCATTGTGTTATGGTGTATTTATTGAGCCTGGGTTCTGCGTTGGTTGCAGTGAACGATTTATCACAAAAGATAACTATAGTTTTTCTGGAATTTTCAATTTGTATTTCAGGCGTCGAAGTAAGTGTCTCCGATTCTTTACTGTTTTAAAAGAATTATATGAATTACACAAGAAATTAGTGAGATAAAAGGTTTTGTCCGAAAATAAATATATGTATGTCAATTACATTTTGTTACTATTCACTTTTCTATTAATCATGGTGAACCCATGTTTGTTTCCTTGTCCCTTTAAGGCTCTATACCAACATTACTGTTACTACAAAACTGATACGTTTCTATGTTGCCAGTGATGGTGCCATATGTTCACCATTTTACAAATGTTTCTCTTAGTCAGGAAGGTATTTGTTATATGAAACATACTTTCAAACATGCCTTAACGCCCGTCAAGTTGATTAAAAGTATGTACTCTTTTGTTCAACTTTATTTATATAATACATACTCTATTTCAGCGTATATTAAAGTAGAAGAAAGAATGGATTGGGACGAATCGAAGGTATATTTCTATTAACTTACAGAGTAAAAAGTACTCACTCAAGATGTGCTTTTTATG